GTGTGTATGTCTGTTGGTAACGCATTAATGTCCTTATTTCTCAGTGTTTCTTGGAAACGATAAGAGCACCTTTGTTAATGAAAATTTCAACCCGAATAAAGTGTGCAGTAGTGAGGTTGAGGTAGTTTTTTAACTACTTTTAACCAGTGTGAAAGGTAACTTTCAATTACAGGCCTACCTTAGGGATATGCCTCATAGATCTATAAAGCAATTCCTTTTATCATTAGATATAAAATATGGACTAACACGAACGGGTGACATTTAATTGCGAAGCATTCGTTTTGGCTTTGAAACTGTCAGATATTGTATTTGCGAAGGTTTATATGTATTCCTATACAGTAATAGTTTTGCCAGCATATCTGGAAAAATGCACACTAAATATGCAAACCAACTCCTGTTCTGAATATAAGGTTTCAACTTACTACAAGATTCCCGTACGTAGAACGGGCAAACAGCTAGTCTTATATAAAGAACAGCAGTTGGTTTGCATATTTTCAGATATGCTGGCGAAACTATCATATATAAACTAATACAGTATCTGACAGTTTCAAGTAAAAAAATCTTGGTAAACATTAGAAGGAAATGTGAAAAAATAACACAATGTTGGGTTTTTGAACGTTTTAAGTTTATTTCCTAAGTAGATAGGCCATGTATTCTAGGTAAAAGTACTGGTATCAAGGATTGTCGTCGAAATTTGGTTATGAATAATTGTTTAGTCCTACGAACCCAAGAGATGGGCAATTGGTCTATTGTCTATTGGTTGTATGGTCCAGCGATTGCAGCACATAGTGGTGAGAAGACACATTGGAAAAGCGAGTTGAGCATAATTCGTAAACCTCTGTTACAATCATCCACTGCAGTTGTCACTTTACATTTACACTTTACACAGCCGCAATTGAAGTGCCGTCAATGAGTTGAAAACTTTTTTTGTAAACTGATATTGGTAACGTTAATTTAAAAAAATGTAAGTTTCCAGGCCATATACGCAACACTGATTCAAGGTATTTTTCCCGGTTATCATAACTCAAGAACAATTTTATACACAAAGACTCTCTATTTTCATGTACGTTTACCCTAAAAATTATTGCACTTACGAATAATTAAATCCGTTATGTAAGGAAACACGGTGTATCTTGATAGGTATTCTAGTTGTTCAAGAGAAGACCGCGTAAAATGGCTCTTTGGCCGTAACAGACAGACAGACAGAAATTGAGATGAGACTTGTTTCGGCTTCTTTAATGTATAAAACGTAAAAATAATTTTATTAAAATTTATGATTCTGACCAATGTACAGACAAAAGTCTAATTTTATTTATATAGAAGATAACAATTTGTAAACCAGTTTTACACAAATGTTGGAACTGTTCCATTGTTATAGTGTGTTTAGTCTCTATTCGTTATATTGTTTTATGTTAACTTTTTGTAGGGATTTTTGTCGTTACTAAGAATTTAATCATTCTGATTTTGCTTATTATAATCTTTTAATGCTTTCTGTTCTTTTGTAAGGCCTTATTATACTGTTTTATGTGTTGTTCAAATTATTTTCATAGAGAAACCAATACAAACTTAAATTGTATACACAGTATAAAATTATATCATATTTGTAATCCAGTTCATAAATGTTCGAACACTGTTCCATTGTTATGTCGTGTTTACTCTGTATTTGTTGCAACTAGGTGAAACCCGTCGAAATTGACGGTTACTTTCAAGGCTAATTCATCTAACTGCGATAAATTGAGTGAAATTATACATATTTTGAGCATTTAGCATTGTTTAAAGAGTAATAAGTGTAAAAACAATAATGATATTAATTGCGTTAGTTACCAAATATCAATCATCATAAGATCATTCAATGAATAAAATATTTCCCATATTGTACGTCATCGGAGTTTTTATTAGTATGTTATCTGGAAAGAACCTTTAAATAGTGTTAAAATCGTATTGTGGATGTTTTGTAGTTAAACACTTCCGTATTTCATCAGTGTAGCCTAATGCAGATTAATCCATGATTTTATTTTAAAAAAATATCTGTTTGTTGGGATGACATGTTTTAACTTCAAAGGTATATCAGTTACATCGTAGGCTAAGTTTGATTTTTCCTTCGTCACGTCGCATATCCATCTGTGCCAATGGATAACCCTCTAGCACAGTTTTGAGAAATTGGTTGTGGGGTTACTGTTAAAGCTGGAATTCCTTGACATAAGGGATGTCAGTTAATTGTCTCAGCCTTATCAATTACATAAAGTTGTCAATATAATCTCTCTACGGAATGTTAGGTGTAGTGGAATATACTTGAAGTGAAGTTGGCTTTTATTCTTGAACTGTTAGGGGCCTCCTCATTTATATGGGTGTGCGGCTTCATTGGCAAGAAATAATGGAAATGACATAGCAATTTGGCATTTCCAAAAAGCAAAAAAATAAATTGGCTGTTACGTAATTTATTGACGTTTACATGCATTGTTAATCAACGTATCTTATAGAGGATGGTGTGATTTAGTTTAAAAGGAATATGACCTTTCTGTCATGACAGTAGCTGCTTAATTAGTATTTACTAGCCAAAATGTTGTGTTATTTTCAATAATGTTACCAACCCAGTGAGCCACGGTCCGTAATATAGGCCACTGCAAATAATTTGTCAAGATAGGTGCTATTTTTAGGCAAGGTTTCTGTGTTTGGATGTTATTAGACACGGTAAGAGTACAATCAAATTCTTCTCTGCAGGTGAATTATCTGTTGGAGAAATATAAGCCGAATCATAATGTCACAATGCGAGTTTGAGCATTGTGGAACTATATGGGTAAGTTACATGGATTTTTTTAGGCTGCTGCTCAGTGTACTTTAAGAATATACATTTTTGAGATAAATTAAATGGTTTTTGTTGCTGAGTAGCGCTAATAGTAAACATGCACAACCCTTTTCGTCTAATAACATTCAATGGCTCTCAAAGAGTTCAAGTTCTTATTTGTACACATATCTATATTATGTTTTCACTAAGCTGAATGAATACAACCTCTCTGAAAAGTCTGCAGTATATTGCAGTTTTCCAGCTTAATGACTTTCTAAGTCATGCACATATCTCTACATAAATATTGTAAAATGTTTATCCAGTTGCTGTAAACTACTATTAATTTAATAAAATATGGAGACGGCTCAAATGTGCACCGTGCCCTTCTGCACTTGTATTATTTTGTATTGTATTACATAATCAAAGATTTTTCCAATGATTGAAAACATGTATGACAATAATCTCATGAACCTATGATGATCTGTCTAGAATAATATGATAAACTATAGGCAAAAGTGGTGAAAAAGGTAGAAACAAACCCGTAAAATAGATATAAGATAGTTCAATGAGAAATAATTGTAGTTACTGTGATAAAAGGATTTTCCACTGATTTCGTAATGGAACACGTTATATTGCAAAACATGACATGATACAGAAGAAAATTAATTTTAAAATCAGAAAATAAAATTGCAAATACTTCTTTTGGGCAATTTAGTAACTCCCAATAAATGTGTGTTGTTTAAAATACAATTTTAAAATTAACAACCGTTTCATTAAAAAGTATTATCCACATGGCCAAAACGTAAACAAATCTGTGTTGAGCATTGGTCTACTTAAAAGGCTTCTGGGGCAGAGCCCGTAGCAATTTTACTTAGTTTTTCTTTTGATAACTCATCTACTGACCAAGACCTTTCTTTGGACACCTCTATCAAGTTTTTACGCCCAGCTGTTCTCTCAAAATAATAGTTTAATGTGACTGTGGGCCCAATTTTGTACGAAACACACACTGTTGTATGATCTCGAGTAGCCGACCCAGTGTTAGCAACAAGGGGCCAAACACTAGGAATGTAGCGCCAGCGACGTCCCTTTCACTTTCAGCAATTTTACAACCCTCGCCACCCCTACGCATGCAAAGAAAGAGAGACAGTAAAACAGCTGTCCAAGTCGATCGGGTCGACCTAGCCTCGGTCGTCAACTCGCTTTCTTTTTCTTCGCCTACAAGCGTTTGAATAGGGGCGCGGGAGAACTACTTGTGTGATGCGGCACGCGTAATACCGGCAAAAACTTTCAGGTAGTTCTACAGAGCGCCACCAGAATTGGGTCGCAGGGTCGCGTTTGAGTTGCCACTTTGCTATTGAAGACTCTTAAGTTTACCGCAAACAGGTTTCCCAACATAAAGTACAAATAATAAGTTACTGTTAACATAGCAAGAGAAACAGACATTTTGGTTTGGAGGTTAAAAATTTATATTATTTTTATTGCGTAAATAGATGTCTCCAGGACAATGCAACGATATCACACTTTACAGGTTAAAATAAATCCTTGGGAATATGAGTACCGATTCAAGTATGATGAAAAAGTATTTACTGTTTGTTATATAATAAAGTTAATTGTTGATATAATTAAAAGGTCTAAAGTAACCAGTTTTTAATTAAATGTGTCATGTTTTTATCTTTATATTGTCACTTGGGTGACTTCTTAACGATTCCATCAGTAGTTGCATTTTAATAACAATTATTGGATTTTGACATAAGATTAAAAAAAAAAATTTTTCTTTCTAGTGAACCTCTTAAAGTATGCAGCAATAATATTGGACACAACAATTCACGTGTAAACATATATAAAATACTATAAGGTAAATTTCAATATACTCTTAAATATATATTTTTTTTATTTTTGAGTTTTGCAGTACTTTGACTAGTTCATATTTTTGTTATGTCAGTTTTGATGCAATACTAAGATCTTTACACTTTCACTGACAAAGAACTTACTACAGACAAAGACCCATCTTTCCATAATGGTCTATTTAGTACTTCTTTAAGCTTACGGAATTATGTTTGTTACAAAATGAAAATCATTTCAACAAAGAATTACACTATTACTCATTTTGAAATGTATCATGCATGTTTTTAACTTAGGATATTAAATTCAAAAAATAATAATCAATGATTAAGAGAGACTAGGTGAAAGGAAAAATGTAAATAATGTATACAAGTTATAAATAAAAATATCTTTATTGTATATACTTCAACTTACAAAATTTCCAAAAGATAAATAGGATTATTTACATAAATAATTACAGGATTTGTATTTACATCTTCAAAGGTATTTACAGTAGGAACAAAATTATGAAAAATGATCTTTTACCTACAAATTATTGATTTAATCAACTTCTTCAATGGTTGGTCCCTGTCCTGTCCTGCTGCCATGTTGACCCTGAGTACCTTGCTGTCCTGCACCATGCAGCTTGGCCATGATTGGAGAACATTGCTTCTGTAGCTGCTGCAGCCGATGTTCGACCTCCTCCTTCTCAGCTAATGTGTTGTTGTCCAGCCATCGCAGAGTCTCGTCACATTCACTCTTCACTGTCGACTTGTCACTCTCACTCAGCTTGTCGCCAGCCTCATCCACAGCCTGTTTCACGTTGAAGACGTAGGCTTCCAGGTGATTCCTCGCCGAGATACGCTCTCTTTGTTTATCGTCTTCCTCCTTGTATTTCTCTGCCTCAGAAACCATCCTGTCAATCTCCTCTTTTGATAGGCGACCTTTGTTGTTTTGGATGGTGATGTTCTTGGACTTCCCAGAACTGGTGTCTTTGGCGGAGACATTGAGGATACCGTTTGCGTCCAGGTCGAAGGTGACGTCTATCTTCGGCACTCCACGAGGCGCAGGCGGGATGCCTGTGAGGTCGAAGGTACCGAGAAGGTTGTTGTCTTTGGTCATGGCTCGTTCTCCCTCAAACACTTGGATGGTGACGGCTGGCTGGTTGTCCGAGTAGGTGCTGAAGGTTTGGGATTGTTTGCATGGTATTCGTGCATTCCTCTCGATTATTTTGGCCATAACTCCTCCAGCTGTCTCTATTCCCAGGGAGAGTGGGGTAACGTCAACCAACAACACGTCCTGGATTGCTGAACTCTGGTCTCCAGACAATATTGCAGCCTGGACTGCAGCACCGTAGGCTACCGCTTCATCTGGGTTGATAGAGAGGTTCAAAGATTTGCCTGAGAAGAAGTTTTGCAGCATGTTCTGGATTTTGGGAATTCTTGTCGATCCTCCAACTAATACCACATCATGAATCGCAGACTTGTCCAATTTTGCATCATTGAGAGCTTTTTCTACAGGATGTAATGTCGCCCTGAACAAATCAGCACAAAGTTCTTCAAATCTTGCTCGAGAAACTTTGGTGTAGAAATCGATCCCTTCATATAAAGCGTCAATTTCAATGCTCGCTTCTGTGCTAGAAGACAGGGTTCTCTTCGCTCGCTCCGCAGCTGTCCGTAGTCTTCGAGTGGCTCTTGGATTACTACGTAGATCCTTCTTATACTTCCTCTTGAACTCCTCAGCCAGATGGTTGACTAGTCTGTTGTCAAAGTCCTCTCCTCCCAAGTGAGTATCGCCTGCTGTCGCTCTCACTTCAAACAGGGAACCCTCGTCGATGGTGAGAATAGACACATCGAAGGTTCCCCCTCCAAGGTCAAAAATCAAAACATTTCTCTCCCCCTTCAAGTTCTTGTCCAATCCGTAAGCCAAAGCAGCAGCAGTCGGCTCGTTGATAATCCTAAGCACATTTAGACCAGCAATAGCTCCAGCATCTTTTGTGGCTTGTCTCTGAGAATCATTAAAGTAAGCTGGTACTGTTATTACTGCATCCCTGACGGTTCCACCTAGAAAAGCTTCTGCAGTTTCTTTCATCTTGGTTAAAACCATTGAACTGATTTCTTCTGGTGCAAATTTCTTAACCTCTCCTTTATATTCAACTTGGATTTTTGGCTTACCGCAGTCACTGACGACTCTGAAGGGCCAATGCTTCATGTCATCCTGGATCTTGGGGTCATCAAACTTCCTACCTATCAACCTCTTGGCGTCAAACACTGTGTTCTGGGGGTTCATGGCTACCTGGTTCTTGGCAGCATCTCCTATCAGCCTCTCTGTGTCTGTGAAGGCGACGTAGCTGGGAGTCGTCCTGTTGCCCTGGTCATTGGCAATGATCTCCACCTTCCCCTGCTGCCATACACCCACACAGGAGTAGGTCGTACCCAGGTCGATTCCAATAGCTGGCATTTTCACTGGCATCTTGGTGTAACAGTAGCACAAAAGTCACAATATTCAACTCTTTAGATTACTAAAATGTCACTAGAATATCAGTAGCACAAATAGTCACAACAAATTCAACTCTTTAGATCACTAGAATATCACTCAGCGTATTCAACTCGCACTGTGTAAACTAGTTGCTGTCTCAATTCAAACTGTCGCTTGCCGCGCGCGCTCGGTATTATAAGGCCAGCTGTTGCTATCTAGAAACTTCTCAGCTGTTCCACGCGCCGCGCCGCGCCGGTTCTAGAAACGCTCGCCGATTGGCCGAGAAACGTCGAGATTGTTCTAGAACTGGGCTGCTATTGGCGGAAAGTGATTCATTGATGATTCCTCTGGTCGATTCGAACAGTGTTGCCACTCTCTGGGTTACTTTAACCTTGGGACATTGTTGATTGTTCCGTAGTTATTACTGATTCCGTAGTAATTTTAGAGCCGAAAATAGTAATTTATTAATTCGAATTCATCATTTCATTCAATATTTCACTTATTGTTATATAAGAAATTCTTATTAACAGATTGTAAAATAAATTCTTAAAAAAAAATAAATTAACAAATTACGTTTTTGGCCCGAATCCAATACTAATAGCATTAACATAATATTATGGTCTAGACAGTTCCATCTAAGCAATGTTAATTTTAGGGCCAAAAACGTCATTTGATTGTGTTTATGATCCATACCGGTTCTGTTCAAGTATTCTTTTTTTTGTCCATTATTGTCTCGAGTATCGACTCAGCCTGAGCATACAACAATGCGAATTAATTCTTCTTTAAGAATTAGAGGTTATTCTATAAGCTTCCAATAATGTTTAACTAGCAACCTAACTCGGATTTTTGCCATTTTTGCAACACTATTCATAACGTATAAACCCTATAAAAACCATTAAAAAATACTCTCCAGTGTGTCTATTAAGAGCTAATAACTATGTGATATGAAATTATATAGCTCTGCCAATATAAATCGTGTCAATTAGAGTGGCGAGCAGGATGCATGTGAGCACATGAACCCTTCCTCTTATCTGTGTGTCACCCCAACAAATAATTTCCATTGGATTAATTTAATACCACTAGTGTCTAGAGGTGTGACTTTTTGTGTTGTCAGGAGCCTTACATCTTTACGATTATCAACTCTTTTAGAATTTCATTCTGTAATTAGTTATCCGAAAATGATGTGTAATGATAAAAACTGTTAAACTCTGCTGTTTGCTACATTTTATTTACAAATAAGTTAGGCCACGTTTAAATAGTTGTTGAAATTCTTTAAAAATAAGTAAATGCAGGAAATAAATATAATCTTGACTGGTGCTCCAGTTTTTAGAAATAAGCGAAATATGATTGTACATATATTAGAGTAAGATCTTTAGTTCTGTAGCTTCTTTCTAACAAAGATAGGCTATTTCTTTAGCCTAGGACATTTGTAAGACCAGTGTTTAAGGACATAGGTATAGTTTTGAACCATGAAATAGGTGCTAACTTTTCTTAGGAACAAACCAGCAACGTGACGAATGTTGATCCCTGTACAAGGACTATCATTTAGCTACCCATCAAAAGTAGAATCCTTTTAATTTGGATCCCTGAGGTTCTGCTATTCCCACATGTGCCACATAAATAAACACAAGTATTTGCCTGTTTGGAATTTTTACTGAAGTCTACCAACTTTGCACACACAAAGTGTCCACTTTAGTACTTACTTCTGATGATTTGAACTGGTTCAAGAATAGGTTTAGTCTTAAGGAGTCTGAAAAGGCGAAGTCAACTATTTACCATTCTGAGACTGAAGAAGAAGAATGTACCCTGTCCAGTATACTAAAGTAGGCATATTAGTAACTGAGTCATATAAAAGCATCTTTGTCATATTGCAGCAAAAACAGCCGTTTTAATAAATGTGTTTCAGGTCTTAAGTAGCTCTTTTACTCCCTAGGGAGTAAAAAGCCTTTTTAGTCCCTAAGTAATAAAAGTAAGCAATCACATGTAGGTATCAAAATTATCTATTGATACCATCGGTTGTACCTTATTGCTGCATTCCTTACCAATATTTTGATATATCGATAGTATGCTTTATATACACTAACACAATTGTAATAGACAAAATGACTTTTTACGCCCTAGTGATGAAATACTATTGATGATTTATGTACTTTTTAGGTGCAGCTTGTATCGTTTAACGATGGAATGCCACTGTTTAAAAATAAGGTGTTTTTACAAGGGTAGTAATTAATTATCACATTGTTAACAGAGAGACATAATTTAATACATACTGAACCAGCCAGTACAATAAATAGACAACAAGTAATATACCATAACAATAAAATAGACCCCAAAACATAACATAATACATAAGAGATAACTTTCAACATACAATGTATCGTTCCATCCTTTTTCAATTTCCATATTTTAGCAGTCCAAAGTTTGAAATCATAACCTGAAAATTGTGATAGATTCTAATTAAGGTGGATGAAGATAAATGATGAACCACTTCAACAGGCTCAAATCTACAATATTAAGTAATTAATTATTTATAATTTAAAATGTGATAACATTTCCTAATTATAATGATAAAGATGGCTTTAGTCTAGCACTAGATTTTCCAAGATTTTAACTATTTGCTATTTTACATAATGTTCTAAAATATTATGCCTACAAGGCATTAAGTGCAGATTTTATGACTAAAAATGTAGCAGAATATTTTCATGCAACTCAAGACTGGTGAATGAATAAATCCACAACAGTTCTGACATTTTTATAAATTTAAAGGACAGAGGCATGCTTTATGCTCTTGAATATGAAATTTTACGTAATGTATATACACATTGAGATGTGTGATTTGGTCATAAAATCATAAGTGAAGGGAAACGATATGTTTAAGTAAGATGTATCAAAATAATCAAAATAATTGATGCAAAATATATCTTTTACAAATAATTCCACAATAGAATAAATTATAGAAAAAAGATCAAAATAATTTCACAATGAATAATTTCTATGCAAAATTGACTAGAGATAGGTAATAGAAGATTGAAAAATTTGCACGGCAAATTCCTTTGGCAAAGTTGACTAGATAAGACAGATAGTTGTGAAAAAACCGAATTAAGCCTATTAGACATTCCATCCCCATGTTAAAGTTGTCGTCAGGTTTTTAATCAAGTTTGTCTTAGTTGATGTGAGCCACCTACAGATTGCACTGATCTAAATTACTGATTTCTGCCGATTACACGATGGTTTTTACCAAGTCAATCTGATGGAATGACTTATTTATGAGCTATAGCAACTGTTTTGGCCCAGCAACTATTTCAGTAACAAAAAATAAGGTACAAAATAGAGTTTTAGTCACTAGTGCAAACTGTGACTGGCTCACACAACTACATTCATTTTAGTAAAAAATTGGCAACAGCTGATCCATAGATGGGATGTCTTTAATGGTATTAGTCTGATACTCATGGTGCCAAATTTCAATTCATATGTAAGCAAATAAATAAATTACCCTCTAAATTTTCTTAGTATTAAATAGTTTTAAATTGTAATGGTAATTTTTCTTCATTTTATGAAGTACATAGAAAATATTTCAGTCTCTTAGCAAATTTTCCAATAGGGAAATATAGCTATTTTCATTTCGTATATTTTGTGCAACATACTACAGTCAAATAATGGAAGAAGAGAGTAAAAACACATTTACAATATAATTAAATAAACTAATAAACCACATGGGTAATGCAATTCTACCCTTAAAAATTTGTATAAATGTCAACTTTGAGCCTAACATCGGTAAACCCGAATCTCAGTACTAAATTTCACCATCAGGTTGCAGTAAATATCAGGCATAGTTTTTAGGTTGTTTCAGTTGAATGGTATTTGCAAAGAAAGTTTTTTTTAATGATATTTTGATTATGTTACAAGGATATCGACCTCTTGAGCTCAAAGGGATCATCTCAATTCACCGCATTTGATCTTTCATCAATATCCACATTATTGGTAATATTTACAACGTATAAAAATTTTGTTCAATTGTTTGTTAAACTTGTAAAAGTAATGAAAAAATAGTTTTGTTCAAGAAAACGGCTTTAAGCCAGGATTTTGAATGGCCGAATAAGAGGATAGCAGCTAGCTTACCTTAGAAGAAATATAGCACACAGAAGATACATAAAACATACAGCAAATATTGTGTGTTCCGTGTCTTTTGTGTGGTCTATCTGTACTTGTTATATGATAGAAAACATTTTCTTTACACTTTGTAATAAAAGGATTAGTTAGAAGATGGTGTAAATTTAATGATAAAACTGTACTCTGTCCAACTCATTACTAACAATTTTGTGCGATCTGTGTTGTGTTGTACATGTCAGATAAAATGTAAATTTCTTTATATACGGTACTGGTTTTTTGTTTCTTTGGTCATATGAGTTAAAAATTTTACCACTTACAGTATCACAGTATTTTACATAGTAAATTCTAAAATGGTTCATGTAGATATTGTTTTTCAACATAAAATTTGATCAAATTTTCAAACTATAATGCTAGAGAACAATATTTAAAAACTCATAAGCAGGAATATTTTATATCATAAATATACTTAAACAAATAACGTCAACATGAAAGCCATTGTGGCTACATTTACCGACTTATAGGCACTGACTCGATATAAATGCAAGCTCCTCATAAGCACCTCAGGCGAAGCTATGGCCAAGGACAACCAAGATCTAAAGTCTATGAAATAATTTAAAATAATCTAAATGAGCCAAAATTTGAGCTACATCAGCGGGAAAGATGAATGCTGAGACAGCTGATTTATCTGGCGGACAGATTAGCGTAGACGGGGTTGAGCTGTTGAGTGCATCGGATGAACGTAGCTCGGCGGGGCAACTCCTTCAGCTTGGCGGCCCCAGTGTAGGTACAAGCGGACCTTAGACCTCCCAGGATATCTAGCACAGTAACCTCTACATCACCTCTGTAAGGCACCTCCACAGTCTTACCCTCCGAGGACCTGCAAAAAAACCAGATCAACAATCTAATACTTTCTCCCATTAGCTTGTTAACAACTCTTATAAATAAGCAATGGGAGTTACTATGGTATTTAATGTGTTAACACAAAAGCTGCAATAACTTTTGAACCATATGTTTACAGTATTGGGGGTTATAGGGTTACAAGGATCATAAAAAACTAAATTTTAACAAAATCAGTAAATTTTTGACAAATTCTTTTGATGAAAATCCAATTTTTTGGTTTTCATGGTGAAATCACCTAAGTTGCAATAACTTTTGGACCATAACTTTACACCAAAGGGGGTTGTACCGTTTTGTTGGGAATTAAAAGGGCTATAACATACTAAATTCTAAGCAAAATCGTTCGGGCTGTTTTTTTTCTTAGTTAATAACAAAATGAATATAATAAACAAGGCACCTCATTCCATCCTACACTCACCTTTCATTCATATTTGGGTTGTGTCTCCCATGTCAATTGTTGGATGGTAATACAATAAAATTAGTGAAAATTAAACGTTTAAGATTGTACTTCTAACGGAATTAGCCGTAAATTGTCTTGTTTCAGGTAATTCATCAATGTTTTAGAGGTACTACCTTACATTACTTTGAAACGGAATGCACGGAACTTGTTACAATACTAGTGCAAAGTTTAAGCTTTCAATCGGTGATTATCTAACAGGATTTGACCAAAATAAAATTGCCTATATTAAGAAAGTTATCAATATGCATGTCAGTGTACCTGTACTCTGCGACTCCGCCAGCGTGTTTCTTCATGGCTGTATCGGAGCTCATGCCGTAGAACAGCTTGACCTTAGTGCCGTCAGGTTTGTGTTTGATCTCTCCTCCGCTCTGGTCGTGTCCGGCCAACATCCCTCCCAACATCACAAAGTCGGCACCTGCGCCGAACGCCTTGGCCACATCTCCCGGACACGTACATCCTCCGTCCTACACAGACAAGATCAATTAACACAAGGGGAGGGGAGAATATCCCTAAGTTTAGTAGTTAAAAAAATAGTAACAAACAGTATAACACGTACTTTCTCACAATCACTTATAAGTGATTAGAGTGATAATAGAACAATGATTTTTTGTCTGTAGAATCACAAGATATGTAATAGCTTTTGAACTGTAATTTTTAAGTGTTGGGTGATATACCATTTGGTTAAGAGTTAAAATGACTACTAATAACTAAATAATTTTATTGTAACATACTAAATTCCAATGAAATTTTTTAAATCTGTTTTTGTGAAAAACCATTTTAGCAAATTTCTCATTTAGGGCTATTGCAATTTTTATAAGCTATTACCGTAGGTCTCATGGTAAGACCTGGACTCGGGACCGATTTACTTTTTCTTTTGGATGTCTCCAGAGGCCAAAAACACATATGGGGGGATTTATGGGTAAAAGTTGGTTTTTCTAATTTCTGACCCTTAAACATAAAACTTTCCAATTTCTCTAAACCATTCTGAAGAGCTTGAAAAAACAAATAATTTAGTAAAGTGGAGTGTTTTGGTACCAATAAATTGGTTACGAAGAAAATTCTAAAAAATTTAAATCTAATTTCCCATGTTATTCTTATGTAGAATATTAAACTTTTGTAGTTTGCTTGTTTATTGGTGTATTTTGATCAAACTTGGCACATTTATTTATTTTATACTTAGCTATTAATATTTTACTAAAAAAACACATTTTATTACCCTCCCTGTGGCAGCAAACCTAGATACTCATTAAACCTAATGTTATTGAAATTGATTTAATTGAAAATCAAATCGGGCAAATTGAAATTAGTCTCAAAGTTTGCTGCGGCAGGGGTATTTTCCGTTATTTTAATATTTGATGGTTATTTAAATTTTCAAAAAATAAACAAAATTGGAGAAACTATGGGTTAAGGCCTACCCACATACCAAATTTGGTCAAATCAGACCACAAATGTAGTCTGTAGCTCTGTACACATAGACACATGCAGACATCACTTAGAAATCATATACAACAGACGAGACGATGTATCAACATACCTAGATTAATAAACTCTTAATTTTAGACATTCTGAAATCCATTCTTTTTTTCATAATATTAATCATTTTTCATTATGAAAACAATACAAAGTGTGTTAGCAGGACACTGAGCTATAATTAATTTCCTAACTGATGCCTGACACAACTAGATATAATTTGCTTGGCTTGCAAATAGCTCCTATAGAACAAAGTGCATCAATACCTGTTTGGAAATATTGCTAGGTTAGCGCTGATTAAGCATCTCAAAACTGAAAACCAACTGTGTATATATCATCAAAAATGTGTTGTAATACCATTACAGAAATAAGTTTATTTGTCACAATTAGTCTTTTAAAATAATTTTAATGTTGTGATGAAGAATAAAAGTGTAATGTTAACGTGTCTTGGTTTCAATTTAATTTTTAAGCACACATAATCATGTTAAACAAGAAAGTGGGTTTTAAGTAAATGTAAACCCATTTTTTCTATAATCAAAGATTTCTAAGATAAGGCTTGAATTGACTACGAATACAAATAAAATAAAATATACCAATGGTAAATAGCTTGACTAATTAAAATTACAAGTATGAACTAACTTAAAGTGCTTTGCTAGCAGAGATGTTATTTGAAAAATAAAAATAATCTACTCTCAATAAATATATATTTGTGATTTCATATATAGGAGGAGGATTTTTTAACCTAAACTTTGAAAAGATTCATAGGGATTTTACTTTTTGCTGCTTAATATACAGTAGAAGTTTCTCAGAAACTACTCCAAGAAGCAGACCACACAAGTATATCCAAGCCACTGGCATATTGTGTTTCATTTTCAAAATTATACAATTATTAGATTGTTTAAGTGTTGTACTGTAAATATTGTATTTGCCTGACTGTAAATCTCTTGCTTTCCTGGTCGTTAAAAATAGAGGATAGTTTGAAAACTCTTATCACCACAACTATCAAATGTTCCATGACTGTAACAAATTACATTTTCCTTGGTAGCTATTTTAAGTATTACAATAACGTGTTGTATGTATTACAATATTCAATGCATTACAATACCTACCAGCCTTGGATCCTCAAGCAAGGTTTAAAATATTAAAAACAAAATTATAGCGAGCTAAAAGAAAATCAAATTCTAAAAAATCATTAAGAAAGTTTTAACATGAAAACTTTGTCAACGCAAATAATCTTTGAACTGAAGCATAAAAATTAGTTGATAGAGATAAAATAAATATTTTGTTATTTCTGACAACCATCAACAGTTGTGCGGTGATCTTTAATCTTTAGGAGATAGACTTGGCACAGATTAACAAGTAGGCACTAGGCCAAGTAGACCATCCGGACTAGTCTTTTAATACCTCTATATTCAAGGTGAATATGAGCACTCAATACTGACAGTTCTTTTTAAATCTTGGGTGTAAAAATTGACCACATTCTGAGGATTCATCAATAGCTCTTTAGAATAACGGGGTTTAAATTTTTTGAGTGAATATGTAAAATTTTTTAGTTACGTGGATAGTTTTGTATCTATACACCTGAAAATTATGATAAGAAGAATTTTGGATACACTCATATGAGGAAGGAGAATCTAGGCTTTCCAAATGATAAGAAATTTAAATTGAGCCAATAATACGTTTCATTTTAAACATATTTTAGTAATTTTTCAAAATTTATGACACTGTTCTGAGAGCCTTTTTCAAATGTTTTTACATAACAATTTTTTATGACCGCCTTACATCCTGTTATAACATTTCTTGCTCTGAAATTAAGTTTCTATGTAATCTTTATGTAATCGTCTTATTTTTTTTCTGTAAAGTATTTCATAGTAATGTACCGTTATTTGAAAAACCATGTTCAAACAAATCTTTTTTTTCATGACTAATTTATATCCAATCAAAACACTAATATTGGATATTCCATCACACGTTCACTGTGCTATCAGCGCCCATACTCCATGCGTTACAACCGTGACACTACCTGTTCTAAAAACATTTGGTTCGCAAAACGCTCCTAAACTTATTACCTACTTTCTTCTTACATGTCCTACTATGCTAATTTTAACTAAACCGAAGTCAAAATACTAATGTATAAAAGCCTAAGTTCACAGAAATAAGAACTTAGCGCCTTCAGGAGCATTGCAAGGACATTTTTTTTACTTATGTTGTTGTTGAAGTTCCGATATAGGCCTACTAGGAATAAACTAAGCAGTAGGCCAAGGTTAGGATATAAAAGTAGAGCCAGCAAAAAATGTTAAACATTCATTACACCATTTTTCCATACCACTTTGATATCACAAACAATGAGCGCCTTGATAATAAATGTAATTCATAAATTGTTTAGACTAATGTTATTATAGAGGATCATAAGCAGTAGGGCATGGCTGGAATGTCGTAGTAGAGCCAGACGTTCAGTGGGTGTCTAAGGTCAGGGGGTCTATTGATAACCTAGATCTGATGCCAGGTTATCATTGTTAAACATTGATAAACGAATCAACGCTCTGCATGTTTTTTATATTGTTTTCTATTGTTTCAAATACCCAACTTGTATTTGATCACTAAGTAAAAACAAATATTTTCCAAGTAATTCTGTAACAATTTGACTTTTTTGTCATAGAGGCCCAGCTTGCCGAGAGATTTTATACTCATTTCTAAGTTCACCTAGCAATTGCAGTCTAAAACTGTTATGGAAATAACATGCTTTTTAATAAACATTCAAATTCAATTATTGAACTCCATTACAAGGCAGAGAATTGATTTAATTACTAAACAAAATTAAATAGGATGTTGTTTGTTAAACAATAACTATCAAACTAACTATTCCATCACAACATCGTTGTTTAGTATTTTTAATCAGTCATATGACTGAGCCACTGGCCCACTAGCTTAAGATTGTTTTAGCAAGAGTTAGGTTTATACATGGGCAAACATCAACTCACGGAGATTATATGTCCCTGCAGCCCATGTGCGGCATCTGCACATTCTAGTACTGCACTCAGTTGTGGGTAGCCTACGCCGGTCTTCATCCGAGTGGTGCAGACGGAGCCGGGGCCGATGCCCACCTTGATGATGTCTGCGCCAGACAGTATCAACTCTTCTACCATCTCACCCGTCACCACGTTGCCAGCCTACAGCAAACAAAGTACTAAACACATACACTCTAGGACAAGTGTGCAAATATTGATAACTATGTTGGATTTAATCTTTAACAGCATTGGTAGTTTCCGAATTAAAACTATAATTCTTTTTTAGAAAATTAAAATTCAAACATGTCATACAAATGTTACTACAAAAAAGGTGATCATATTGAAAACTACGTTGGGTTCGATCTTGAACAGCATTGGTATTTTCCAAACAATTCCTTTTGAGAAAATTAAAATTCAAAACAGTAGTGAGAGTCTTACCCCATAAGCTTGCAAGTGGAGGGTGCCCAAGGGATTGGTCCAAAAATAATTTTGGGCGTTTTGAAAGTTTTGTAGTAAAATAAAATATATCTCATATCACTCGTAGTAGGTGTTTTGAATTAGGAAGTATCCTACTAACATCAGTGCACGTAATTTGTAAAAAAAGTCTCTTTATATTTTTACCAACCCAAAAAAACCTGAGAGTATAATTTTATGGGGGTAATTTGTTACACCAGTGAGGAAGTATGTATATGATTTAGAAACCTTCAAGAAGAGTAGGCCTACCTCTCTTTTGTGCGATAGCCTAGATTTGGGAATGTCAGTTTTTGGCATATTATTATTTATCCATGTTTTGATTTTAATATTGAATTTACAAAACAATAAAACGAATTCCAAGATGTCTGATTCATCGAAACTTTCTTAAATCTTATTTTTTTTACTCAGACGAAGTGGAAACCTTTTTAATCCTATTTAATATTTTGTCATTCATTAAATAAATTGATTGTAAAATAATACGTCTTTCACCTACTAACCTTATCTGCTACGTTTCTACACTGATTGTAAGCTTACCATGATTGTATGTGTAGGAAAGGCTGCTCGCACTCTCCGCAGATATTCTACAAAATGCTGAGAGTAACCGTTGGCTACATCGAGACAAACAAAGCGTATTCCGGGCACTGCCTCCAGAATTTGCGTGAGCCGCTCGTAGTCAGCCTCACTTGTGCCTGATGAAGCAGCTATGTGAGGCAAGACTTCCGGATTCTTTTCCGCAAAATCTTTCCAATCTTCTACTGAGTAATATTTGTGCATAGTCGTAAACAGGCCATGCTAAAAGAGATTTAGACAGGCATAAATTTGGTTTTGTTAGGCCAAAAGTTGGATCTACCAACACCATGAAACATATTAGACGTCCCTGTCTGCAAGCAGACCAAGACGTATAAATATAATGTAGCCTAGAATTCGTATATGAATAGTAGGGACAGCTTATTAACTTTGAGTTGACTCGATCATTACTGAAATTAGCATAACTTACTTGTAAATTAAGGTGGGTATGCGATTGCTGATATTAAGACACAATTGATTAAATCGATATTGAATAAGCCGTTAATATGCTTATACGATGGGACTACGCTTTTCACAACTTAAATCTGAGTTTTCCGAGTGGGATTTAAATAATATATCATAATCGAATAAAGTAAATAATTAAATGAACCGTATTACTAAATAAGTATGATTAAAATTGTTCATTAACCTTAACCTTTATAACTATTAGCAAGATTTAACTTAGGTGTTAAAAATTTAACTGCATTGAAAAGCATTGGATTTTTATTTAAGGGCAGTGACAAAACCACATGTTAAGTTCCTGAACTTAAATTTGTGAATGTCAATGGTACTGTACTTAACTTTAAATTTTTACACTTACCTTTGCCAAAGCTTTAGCCATTTCAAAAGTTCCAACTGTATCCATATTTGATGCAATTAATGGAATTCCCTTGTAAGTCTGTTTTGAGTTTCGGAAGGTAATTTCTCTGTAGAGGTTGACCTGCAAAATCGTATGTGAATTTGTTAACAAACTAACAGAGTAGGCCTAAAGTAGGTATAAGCTAGGGCAGTATTAAGTTAAAAGAATTTATTAATACTTACATCAGCTCTACTTTTCAATGTACTTCTTTTAGGTCTTAGCATCACATCTTTAAAGTCCAACTTAATTTCATTTACAATATTCGGCATTTTGTAAAAGTTAATTTACTTGTAAATTATTCCGATCGAACTAGGGTACGAATCGGTGTCACCGAACACCTGACACACCTCTGACACAAGTTTTAGCAGAAAGCAGAAGCGAAGCAGACAGACACTGTAGAGAATGAAGGCAGCGGTATTTTTTTTCAGTGATTTTATCCATAGTGTTTTACGTTAATATTTAATACGACCATAGATTAAATTTACTCACATCGCTAACTGAGGCTCATTAGGACTTTTAAGGGGTTTTAAGGTTTTTAACTTTGAAATTTTGAAATAGGATACTGAAAATAACCATATTTTTTTATATTTCTTCTGGTAAAAAAAAACTAGATAATATAGTTTTCATTGTAGGCCTATACTTTTTCAAGGTTTATATTGATGAATCTTTGATATCCAAACTCTTTTCCTGGCGTGTTATAGAAAAATAAATTTTTCGATTCAATCGATACAAAATAACCAAACCAAAATCCAATTGTTCTATTGATTGTTGATTGATAATAATTGGTATAATACGATGGAACCGGATATCAAAGTTGTTGTAGTTTTCAGTGATTGGGGTATATTATTGAGTGATAGGCGTAAAAGCGTAAATAAATGCAATATAACATAAGTAGTATAATTTCTGTATCAAGGTATTACCTTCATAGATTATACATAGTCCGTATTTTTGTAAAGTCAATGATAGACTACTTTCTCATATTAAAAGTCTTTGACAATGTCTATCGTTCCCGCCAAACCACAAAACCATAGCGAGAGCAGAGAGCAGGCAAAAAAACAGTAACTTGTTGAAACATCAACTTGAACTTGTCTGTCTAGTGGTCTTGGTCTTGCTTGGTCAGTCAGTAAGTTAAAGAAAGTTGGAATTATTGTTGGAAAGTTTCTGTTGTTAACTAGGCCTAAATCTGTTCGCTGTATTAATAAATTCAAATAGTTAAATATTTATTATTTTAGATTTGCATACTTTCCTGCTGCACAATGGGTATTTTAGGACTAGCAAAGCTAATTGCAGATGTGTCTCCCCATGCAGTTAAAGAGACTGACTTGAAAAGTTATTTTGGTAAGTTTTAAAAACCTTTTTCTTATCCCATAACACAATAATATATTACATATCATTATGGCGTTGAACTAGTGTATTCTAAGTTAATACTTTTAATTGAAATGGTGACCAAACGAAGGTAGGCTACTGTTGGTATTTGAATCCAAGTATGAATGGAGATGAGTGTAGGATGATCTTGTTGTTTTGTTACTTATAAGGCCGTCATGTTCCTTAAACAGGACTGTTAATCGCTCATACAGCCAATGAAAACTAAGAGACCTAGCCTACAGTTTATAGTGGACTAGGACCGTGGCGTCGTCCTGTAATCCAGCTACTCGGAAGTACAAAAAAACTACTATAACCCAGAATGCCAACCGCATAGTAAAAATCGTTAAGTACTTTGAGAGAGCTTTGTCTGTCAGTTCGTAGGCAGTGCCACCACCGTTGCTATGCTGAGTGCATAGCAGCGCTTTTTGCTATCTAACGCAAATTGGTCTAGCCTAATTCAGAATAGTAGGTACTTCGTATAGACGTAGTATTCACTAGTGCCAACGTTAATCCACACCAGGTAGTATTGCATCGAAAGATCATGCCAATAAATATCCACAATTCGTGACCTCCAAGTAGCTGGATTACATGACGACGCCACAGTCCCAGTTCTTCAAGCGCTTCAAACAATCTGGTAAATATGAATGAGCAAATTGTTCTTTATTATCTCACCCTCTCTTTTCATGACACACGGTTAAAACTTACTTTAGTTTAGCAATGCGATATAGTACCTTCTCAAACTAATGTTTGTACAACTCTGTTTTTTATCTTAGCCTGTAACTAAACCAACTTCATCACATTTACGAAAGATGTTAAACCCAAAAGCTAGGCCCAGCAGAATTCACAACGGTATCAATTTAGGCTATGACTGCTTTAATATCCACATCGTATAGGTAATCAAATCAGTGTTACCATACGACCAAATCAAAAAGGTTTAATCATTAGCATTGTTTAAGTCATTAACATATTAACTTATGAGGTAGCCTAAGCCTGTGGACAAAAAATTGAAATGCCTAAGACTGCTTAGTCGCTAATCAAACTTATGACTCTAGGCCTACACCAACTGTTCAATCTCCTAACCAACTTTATTTATAAAGTAACACATGATTGTGATAATAATTATTTAATTACAATGTTTTTTTTTTGTCAAAACAAAAAAGTTTCATTTTTATGTGATTCAATGCATTTTCATACAAAACAGTGTTGGACACACCGGCATTGTACACCAACCATGCTGATGAATCAGATATTTGTACAAGGTTAGTTCTTGGTTGCTTAGTAGGTGAAAGCAAATTCTAATAATAATAGTTTAGTTTGACTGTAAAGCACATCTTAACCCTCCCAGTGTTACTTGACGAAAATTCGACAAGCAGCACACTTTGTGTAGTGTTACTTGTCGATTTTTCGACACGCAGACATCGTTTACGGCGAAGGCTCTATGACTGACTGAATCGGATTGAACTGGATCGAGTTAGGTATCGTTCTTTCCGTAATATTCTAAGCTTTCTCCAGAGGTCTGTCTCAGCGCTGTACGTTCTCTGAGCCGATCGTAATTGTGGCAGACAGCTGACGTGCGTGTATTTGTAAACAGCTAGGTTACTCGGACCGATGACTGATGTGTTTTATTACGTTTATCATTGTTTTAGTGTTAAAAATCAAAAGTAGTGATATACGTGTTGCATTATAAGAAGATTTAAGTGGTTTTGAAGTGCTGGTTGATGATCCTGAAGAAGTAGGTAGGCTAGTGATATTGATTTAAATTATCAGCTAGATTCCTAGCTATGGTTAGGCTATGCATTCTTAGCTAAACGCTATGTACTGAAATCTGTTTTTTGCCCATAACTTATTTATTTGCAAATCTACTTCCTTATATTATTATATATTTGTAATCCTCATAAAATTTAGAACAAAGTGGCTATTTTCAAATATTTATAGGCCTATAATTTATACAATTTCATTGAGCGCGAACTTATTTTTTTTTTGAAAATTTTCAAAATTATATTTTTTTTTTATCTAAAATTTTTTTTTTTTTAATGTTCCTTATGTTTTATATATAATATTGAAGCCCATGATTTTCCAAACAAAATGGTATATAGAACATTAGAATTAACATTGTTTTAAGCTTCTCAGATCCGTTTTAATAAAACCTTGCAAATGCGCCAAAAATAGGTGGACATTAAGGCCTAAACTATGGACACTTGGAGGGTTAAAGGAAGCAAGAACTACTTGATGACAATCAATCATCATCATCATGCATGTTTCAATTTAGTAAATATCCTTTGGTCTCTCCTGATTTCAGGTAGAAAGGTCGCCATTGACGCCTCCATGTGTCTTTATCAGTTTTTGACAGCTGTCAGGTCTGAAGGAAATCAGCTGACATCCTCTGATGGAGAAACTACAAGGTACCGGTATTGCTTAAGCTAGCCTTTTGGAAACCCTATTGATAACTTAGTTAATATACTTAGTTTGTATGATCTTAAATAAATGTGCTCACAAGGTTAAAACAGTAGAATGTCGATAATTTGTACGTCAAAAATCCGGACCGTGAATAATCCGGATTTGTCTCTAGCAAGAAATAAAATTCTGTACTAAGAATAACTGAAAACCACGTGTAGTCCATGGTATACATATTTATAATAGGCCCATAAAAACGTTGTATTATTGTATAAATAGACATTTATGGAATAATTTGGATTTTTTACGTCAATAAAATTCAATACTGTTCTGTGCAATCATGATGTTTTCAATTCATTAAGTATGGTTCTGTTTAAAATCACAGCCTCTAAATAAGGCGGTCGACACACGGGAAGACTGAAACCCAACTAAAGTTGAACCAACTTTTTTGTGACGCGATTACGATTGCAGTTGCGTTGGTTAAATCCGCACACGGGCGCGACTGTAGTTGAGTTGAGACAGTAAATGAGTTCTAATTTTGTTATAACGATACTGTGTACTGTGTATGGTGTTTGAAATGAGTGGTAGTGATTAAGAAGCCCTGGTGTTTTATAGACAATCAAGAGCGTAGAAGGTATTGGGTACATCCTTATGTTAAAACAAATATTAAATGTAGGCTCTTTGTAGCTGCCGCTGCATTAAAAGAAACAGACGCAAAATTTTCAGTCTATGAACAGGATGTCAAAAAGTACTTACAAAGAGTTATCGCAGTTGATATGCCCGATCCTTGAAAAGCGCAATACAAATATGCGAAAAGTTGTTCAAACCAGGTGACTGAAATCACCTAGCAACCGGCAGGTCCGGTTGCTTAGTCCGGTTGCTTAACGACTGATTGCCGACTGGTCCTCAACTGGTCGCATCGCAGTCGCACCGTGTGCACTGTCCCTAAGTGTACTACCCTACAAAGACTTGCCTTTATGAAAATTAAGCCATTAAATTGTCAAGCATCAATGTACATTTAAAATGAAAAGCTATAGCAAGTCCAACTAGTTTTTCTCATATTTTTGCTTATTTTCAGTCATTTAATGGGAACGTTCTACAGCAATATACGATTAATGGAAAATGGAATTAAACCAATCTACGTGTTTGATGGTAAACCTCCTAACCTTAAGTCCGGAGAGCTTGAAAAGCGAGCTGAGCGAAGGGAAGAGGCCAAGAAACAGCTGGAGCAGGCTGAGAGCACAGGTACGCTATTAGTTCAGTAAATTATCAATTAAAAAAAACACACTTGAATTAATTTAACGTTAGTTTTAGAGAATGCTCCATTGTAACTCTGATAAAAAATGTATAGCCCTGGTAAACTGTATTTAAATAAATTTAGGCTAAATATGCATGATGAATTATAAATACCTTTGTTATACTCAGTTCATGTGCTTTTAATATTATGTGCATATCTTAACATATATGGTTTCATTGAAAAGTACTTATTGCTTTTTTATCATGTGAATCTATGCATGAAAGGTAAAATAAATATATGGTAAAATAACAGTTAAATTATACTGCATTCGTTATTTTGTTGTTGGCTGTTATATTCACAGAATTTGA